TCGTCAAGATAATTATGTATTTGATAAACAGTAAAATAAGCAAACCTCAGTAGGCCTTGGGCAAAGGCTGCTTCTGAGTGGGGAGGTGGGCACTTTATAACATTTTTATTTGTAATCATCCCCTCATCTTTGTCAGATGGACATATTGTGGTTACTGTTAATGTTCCAAAATACAGCATACATTAAAGAGTCCTAAGCAAAAAATCAACGTCTGAACTTGAAATAATTAAGACAGGAGAACAATTTTATTAAGGAAGCATGTGTTAAATGTCCCCAATAGCCAGCTTAAAGAGGAGAAAGCAGAACATTAATATTTTAAAAATTAAAGCAAAAAGATAAATATTTTACTCGTATACTGACTGACCCTTAACTTAAACTTAACAATGCTTAGGCTACTGGTGCACTGATATCACTGCCTAACATATTGATCAATACTGTTTCATTATTTCCTTATACTCCCCCCACACACAAATGAAAAACACAAGTAATTGTAAGCATGTGATTTATTTATATATATATATACACACACACACACAGGCTGTCAATCACAGTTAACTCACACAATTAACTCAAAAAAATAAATCATGATTAATCACAGTTTTAATCACACTGCTAAGCAATAGAATGCCAATGGAAAATAATTAAGTATTTTGGATGTTTTTTTACATTTTCATATATATTGTATTCTGTGTTGTATTTGAAATCAAAGTGTATATTTATTACAAATATTTGCACTGTAAAAATGATAAACAAAAGAAATAGTACTTTTCATTTCACCTCATTCTAGTACTATAAATGCAATCTCTTTATCGTGAAAGTGCAACTTACAAATGTAAATTTTTTGTTACATAACTGCACCCAAAAACAAAACAATGTAAAACTTCAGAGCCTACAAGTCTACTCAGTCCTACTTCTCATTCAGCCGATCGCTAAGACTAACACGTTTGTTTACATTTACAGGAGATAATGCAGCCCTCTTCTTATTTACAATATCACCAGAAAGTGAGAACAGGCACTTTTGTAACCGGCATTGCAAGGTATTTACATGCCAGTTATGCTAAACATTCGTATGCCCCTTCATGCTTCAGCCACCATTCCAGAGGACATGCTTTCATGCTGATGACGCCCGTTAAAAAAATAATGCGTTAATTAAATTTGTGACTGAACTCCTTGGGGGGGGGGGGGGGGAGAGTAGTATGTCCCCTGCTCTGTTTTACCCGCATTCTGCCATATATTTCATGTTATAGTAGTCTCCAAAGATGACTCAGCACATGTTCATGTGAAGAACACTTTCACTGCAGATTTGACAAAACGCAAAGAAGGGACCAATGTGAGATTTCTAAAGATAGCTACAGCACTTGACCCAAGGTTTAAGAATCTGAAATGCCTTCCAAAATCTGAGAGGGAGGAGGTGTGGAGCATGCTTTCAGAAGTCTTTAAAGAGAAACACTCCAATGCGGAAACTACAGAACCTGAACGACCAAAAAAGAAAATCAACCTTCTTCTGGCGGCATCTGAATCAGATAATGAAAATGAACATGCGGCAGTTTGCACTGCTTTGGATTGTTATCGAGCAGAACCCATCATCAGCATGGATGCATGTCCCCTGGAATGGTAGTTGAAGCATGAAGGGACATGTGAATCTTTAGCGCATCTGGCACGTAAATATCTTGTGATGCTGGCTACAACAGTGCCATGAGAACACCTGTTCTCAGTTTCAGGTGACATTGTAAACAAGAAGTGGGCAGCATTATCTCCTGCAAATGTAAACAAACTTGTTTGTCTGAACAAGAAGTAGGACTGAGTGGACTTGCAGGCTCTAAAATTTTACATTGATTTATTTTTGAATGCTGTTTTTTGTACATAATTCTATATTTGTAGGTTCAAATTTCATGATAAACAGATTGCATTACAGTACTTGTATTAGATGAATTGAAAAATACGATTTCTTTTTATTTTTTACATTGCAAATACTTGTAATAAAAAATAAATATAAAGTGAGCACTGTACACTTTGTATTGTGTTATGGAAATTAATATATTTGAAAATGTAGAAAACATCCAAAATATTTAAATAAATGTTATTCTATTATTGTTTAACAGTGCGATTAATAGTGATTCTTTTTTTAATCGCTTGACAGCCCTAATATACATACATATGTATACACACACACACATTTGTTGTATATCGTGTAATAACCGTCTATATTAAAATGTATCACTGAATACCACGGGAACAATTTATAGTTATTCCGTGTGCCTGTGGTACATAATAGGCAAGTATTCTGTGGTCTGTAATACTTTGGTCTAGTTTCAGCTGTTGGGTTTAGCATGCAGGTGCTGGGTTTAGCATGCAGGTGCTGGGTTTAGCATGCAGGTCAGACTAGATGCTCTTGCAGTCCCTCTGGCCTTAAACTCTGAAACTGTGCAGCAGTTGGCAGCAAAATCATAATCAACAATGACTAATGGGTAAAATGGACTAACAAGAATGACCACATGGGTATTATTGATATATTACTGTACATGAACTTCCCCAACCAACACTTCAGCCTCCACCATTCAGATACTAGGAATAACAATTAATTTAGGCTGTCCTAGAAGTTTCATATATATTTTAGGTTCAAACGTACTTGTAGAGACTTGCTGAAGAGAAATCACTTTCTCTGTATGATGGTTTTGTGATGAGGATTTCTGTTCACAAGGAATTTAAATTGATAATACTGTATTAATTTTATATATTATGTTAGACTCAAATGAGAAGTGAAAGACCAGCGTCAGCAGGGTTCAGTGATCAACCACTGTTTTTCTCTTCATAATTTACTTGTTAATTTAATAATTACAACAATGCCTAGATAATCTGTAGCTTCAGTGTCTTGGAATGAGAGGAAAAGTTAATAGCACAATTGAGAGAAGATTTTTATTTAAAGAGATGCCCAAATAAATTGCAATGAGAATATTTGAAACCAATATCTAAACTGAACTAGAACACAGACACTGGCTTAAAGCAAAATTAATTTATATCACCCAAATCCGGAAAAGCATAATTTCAAGCCTTGATCTTATTAGGATACTTAATGTAATCTCATTAGGGTGCGTGCTTCTATATATCAAAGTGGTTTACACATTCTAAATATATTTTAAAGAGCTCCAATAAAGATTGGTACTGAAGTGTTTAACAGTGTCAAAACCGACTTTTGCAGGGCCAGAATGCTAGATCATTAATTAAAAAGATAGCAGTGGCAATGCAGTCCAGTGTGGAGGAGGGTGCGCTGTCATATAGAGGGACCTAATTTCAAGTAACAGATCCATAGTCTCCAGAACCCTAAGAAATTACAACTTCATTTCCTAGGCTAGTTGAAATTAGGCATGGGGGAACCTAATTTTCAAAAGTGCTCAGCACCCATATCTCCAGATAAAGTAAATGTGGACTATGGATGCCTAGCACTTTTGAAAGTCAGACCTAGTACCATGTACAGGGGATATGCTGCCAGAAACATCACTCATAATATGCATGCATGCCAATCCATAGGGAATCATATATGCTCAGTGACAGCAAGCAAATGGATAGGAAAGACCTAGTAGGGAAAAATAAAGGGAAAATTGGGCATCAGAGTAAAGGGCAGGTTTTGTCTGCACTTTTATCCCCACTGACAAACAAAAAGAAACAGAGAAAAGTCAAACTATTAAGAAACTGACAAAGCTAATGCCGATTTTTAAAATATTTTTAATGGCTACAGCAGACCTTAAGAGAGATAGCTATTTTGATCTTATTGGAAACAGCTTCAATACTCCAACATAAATGTATGCACATATATATTAATGAAGTAGACATGTTAATCCCCCAATGTCTATATCTGTGAGGCATCTAAGCTCTTATTTCCTTCACCATCAGTCTTGTGTAAGTAACATACTGTGGCAACATATGAATAGTTCATAGCTCCAGGAATAAATGAATGAATGAACAGTGACCTAAACCCTGAGCAGCAATTAAGTTTCTTTACTGATCAGCTATCGCATACCTCACAGCAAACAAGTGTGTTTTTTGACATGCACACTTGCCTGCTAGTAAGTTAAATAAGGGAACTATTTCTGTCAAGAATGTTTGTGATTTTTCCCCCCCTACAAGCCTTGTTTCTTGTTAGGAGTACTGGGTTTTATTCTGATGGAGCTGTTCATGACAAGCCAAAGAAATGGAGGTGGTGATGATAGGGGTTTAAGTAAAGAATACTCTGCAAAAGCACAACGGGACTGCAGTTGTTTCCCCGTGAGTTGGTGAGCTTCAGTTTGACCTTTCTGAAAACTGCAACGAAAAGCTAATGTTGAGTACAGATATTTGATCTTAGTATGCAAGTAAACACTTCTTGCAAACATTGGTACACTAGAAGAGTTCAACAGCAAACAGGTAATTGTCAACATGACCATCTGGTTTTTCATGTTTGGGAATGGAGGAGGAGGAACTAGGTTGACTATTATAGCTCCCCTTTACAGTTTGCATTTGTTTCCTCACACACACATATACATATTATTGTACACACAGTATACTCAGATATTCCAAGATTCATTTTCTTCTGATTCACATCAGTACAATGAAATTCTAACTGCAGAATCTTTATTAGTTATGTCAAAGTCAAAAAGAACAGCAGCTGGACTTTCAGAGGTCAGGTTGAATGTTCACCATTTGCATTTAGAAAACATATCATTGTACTTGTAACCAGAACCCACTATCTCTGGATGTCTTTGAGAACCCTACATGGAATCCCAGAAAGCCATCTCCAGACTCACTTGTCACATGGTAAAAGGTTAAATCTATTTTCCCTGGACCCCTAAAATATATTATCCCATATTCTCACCATTCTTTATTTAAAGCATGATAAGATTGAACTCTGAAAAAAACAAGTTCAAGAAAATAACACCAAAACAGACTGAAGAGGAAACCAACTCCTACACCACCCGAATATTATGTTATCGTATATTAATTTAAAATAAGGAGTACAACAATACCTTAGTCTTTGCAGAAAATGAAGGCAGGCAGGAACAGAAGAAGAAAAGTAAGTTCTGTGATCAGCAGACTTTTCTTCCTACAGTGTGCTTCTCAGAAACAACAGAATAGTTTTCTCCTATTCTCCCTGTTAATCAAAGAACAATGAATTTGGATAATTAGAGGGACAAAGAAGCCAAAGCAAACAATTTGACCCTTTATTCCACAAGATATTATTATAGTCCCTTGGTGAGCTTTGTAATTCTAAAATTGAAATTTGTATGGAATAAATGAATATGTATTGTAACTAATGTTTTACACTTTTTAAACATTATTTTTACTGCATGTACAGTATGCTCCAGCAAAATATCACTACTATCTGAAGTTCAGATTAGCTCTTCCCCTTCCAGCACTAGTTTCTAAATCTGTAGCGTATATACACAACACAAACACTCACAAAACTATCACTTCATTATCTGTGCACATGATGCTGTTTTTTCCTCTAACGCCTCACAATGCTGTTAGTGTAAGTCAGACATTATTCTAGCTTATAATTTAATTCTAGATTTTAACTAGAGAGAAAAGAAGCAAAAATGAAGTACATTGCTACTTTAGTACACTGGCACTTCTACAGGTTAAATGCAGTCTCTCTCTCAACTGAGGCCCCAGGTTTTGTTTTTGGAGGAAAGTGATTAAGAGTTTTTATAAAACTCAACACAAATATTTCCCTGAAATTTAAAAAACATGAAAAAACGTATTTTAAAAAGAATTTCATTTCCTTGGTATTTGAAGCCAAACACTGCAGCCTCCTGCTAATGGAGAGTGAAATGGATTATAAACTGACCATAAGTAACCATAAAAGTGGCATCTATTTTCGTTGGCACTGTCAAATGTAAATCAAGAAGGTAAAAAGGCTAAATGGTAAAAAGCAAATTATCTTATAAAAGTTAGTAACACAGGGAAGGAAATCTAATTTTTAAAACATATCTCACCCCCGTCTAGGTGGTGTGAGAGAAAGGAGCCTGGATTTGATTGGGCTGGCAGGGGACAGGCAACACCTGGAGACACAAGGTGCTGAGCTGAAGGGCCACCCAGTCATCAAGCCCAACCACTTTTTGGCCGGGCTAAGCCCTCGGGGTGCTGCTACCCCGCGCACCAGGTCACAATCCCACTCGCTCAAATTTGTATGGAGATGATGGGTGTAGGGGCTCACAGACAAGAAGGATCAGGCTGCTGGGGGTGGGGTGCCTGAGAGGGGAAGAGGAGGGGAGCAAAACTAAGCACATAAGAACAGCCATATTGGGTCAGACCAAAGGTCCATCTAGCCCAGTATCCTGTCTTCCGACAGTGGCCAATGCCAGGTGACCCAGAGGGAATGAACAGAACAGGTAATCATCAAGTGATTCATCCCCTGTTGCCCATTCCCAGTTTCTGGCAAACAGAGGCTAGGGACACCATCCCTGCCCATCCTAACTAATAGCCATTGATGGACCTATCCTCCATGAATGTGTCTAGTTCTCTTTTGAACCCTGTTATAGTTTTCACCTTCACAACATCCTCTGGCAAGGAGTTCCACAGGTTGACTGTGCGTTGTTTGTTTGTTTTAAACCTGCTGCCTATTATCTTTGCCATCTCTCCCACAAACATACACTTTAAATGGTGCTCCTCAGCACTTGCCTGGAAACCTGAGGTTCAGCTGGTCTGGAGCCTTTCCTATCTGCGCTCATAGAATCATAGAATATTAGGGTTGGAAGAGACCTCAGAAGGTCATCTAGTCCAATCGCCTGCTCAAAGCAGGACCAACACCAACTAAATGATCCCAGCCAAGGCTTTGTCAAGCTGGGCCTTAAAAATCTCTAAGGATGGAGATTCCACCATCTCCCTAGGTAACCCATTCCAGTGCTTCACCACCCTCCTAGTGAAATAGTGTTTCCAAATATCCAACCTAGACCTCCCCCACTGCAGCTTGAGATCATTGCTTCTTGTTCTGTCATCTGCCACCGAGAACAGCCTAGCTCCATCCTCTTTGGAACCCCCCTTCAGGTAATTGAAGGCTGATATCAAATCCCTCCTCATTCTTCTCTTCTGCAGACTAAATAACCCCTTTTATTTTCTGAAATTTTGTGCAGCTATAATCACAACCTTAACATTCCATCAATGGTATTTTATTAATATAATTTTCTATTCGTTTCAATTTTCCTACAGTGCACTTAAACACAATTGTAAATGTAAAATTTCAAAGAAAATCCTCTACTACATGTTTTCTCTCAGGTCCCTCCCCTCCACCCTCACCTCTTCCTTTCAACCATACCAAGGAGTACTGTTTAAAAAAGAAACTTGTACCCGACGTGCCACATTAAGCTTCCAAGTACTAGATTCACATCTACAAAAATTTTTAAAAGCAATGGGAGTTTTTGTGGACAGTTTACATATGGTTATTAATATAGTCAGTTCTGTTATGTCCCAGAGAAAACATCTTATTAGTTCTACAATTAAATGATTCAGCAACCATCCACACTATCTTTGCCTTTTAACAGTTGCAATCAGTAGCAGATCTAGGTGTAATCAACAGCAGCAGGGGGTTTTAGGAAGCAAAACAAAACAAAAACAGTAGGGATCTTTACTAGTATACAGTAATTGATATAAGGAGACATTTTATTCTAAGTTAGCCCAAGATATAAGGAAGTTTACACATGTGTTGCATTCTATTACCTACAATTAGCATTCAATTCATCAGCTCTATGCAATAAGCTATTTTAAAATGGTTTGATATTGTTTAATCTTTTATGGAGTTCTTCTGCCCCTCCTCCTAAAGGATCATCTGTGTCTCTAACATAGCATTTAATGTTCCCCATTTACTTTTTCTGTTACAAGGCCAATGTTGGAGTTACCATAAATTCAGCTGAGACCTGGACAATTCAGAATCCAGAGATGTCACCCCTTGAACTCGTGAGTGGGCTGTTCCTGTGAAATATTCCCTTCCCTGTAAGTCTGCACAGCTCTTTCAGCCCCTGCTATGCATGGTAACAAAACTGTATCTCCCAAAATGACTGAAGAATACCATATACATACAAATATAGACATTTATAGTCTACCTAATTTTTTGTGCTGTTATCTCTTTCCACTAACACTACCCTACATGTAGAAAAATAATGCATTTTTGCTATTCAAGATAAATTGATAGGTGGCACAGTAATTTAAGTGCCCTTTTGCTTTTGAGATCTGAGTTCAATTCCTGGCTGGGACATACATGGTAAATGAGTTTTCTGCCCTCCAGGTATTACAGATATTACTGCCACCCTTCACTGCACTGAAAACCACTGACAGGAAAAAATTAAGTCACAATAAATGGGAACAGTTTAGTTTGCTACTGCTTAATGGTAACTAGGTCCCACCATAGAGGTACATTAGCTAAAATATACAGTGTTTAAAAATCTTAAAAATTCCCTGAAAGAAATGAGATGCAAGGAATTTAATTTTGAATGTAATTAGCTAGCTTTTCTGCTTTATTAAAATCATAACAATATTTAGAGATTAGACATTATTTGTTAAAATCTGATATAGAATCCACTCTAGAGTCTAAATATCTGGGGGGGATTTCCATCCATCCACTGTTGTTGAGAACATACACTAGTAGATACAGTACTGCACTGTACATATGAGGTGGATTTATTAGTTGTGGTAGTGCCTAGGAACTTCAATCAGGATCAAGGCCCCATTGTATTAGGTAATGCACAGGTAGGCCTAGCCTCTGCTCCATGATCTCTGCCCCACAAAACTTAGAGCCTAATTTGATATAACACATGGCAAGTGTGAAGCAAAACAAGGAGACAAAAAGTGAAAATAATGAAAATACCATATAGTCAACAAGGTAGCTATTGTACAACTTAATGGTTCCTTGATGCTTCCAAATCATCTTACTTTTTAATAAATGATAAAATCAGCTAATTCTGACTGTTGTATAAATTAGTCTTCTTGACTGGCTGATTTCTTGTAGGCATCAGAGTAAAAGTGTTTCTTGTGGAGCAGTGTTTGCCCTCATTTATATCTGAGGAGATAACACACATGATATCTCATTCATGTGTGGAGCCTCAATTCACACCCAGCAGGCTGCTGGTCACAGATGCACCAGAGAGTCTCCCACTCTCTTCCCCAACAATAAGGGCTTCCAAACTTCCAAAAGTTCCCCTAACAGGGAAAGAAAACTCTGAGCATTTAAGCAAGAGCATTGTTCTTGTATAAATCTAACTGCACAACTGCTAGAAATATGGGGCCCAGCTTGCAATTTTCTCCTGCTGGAAGACGAAAGGCAGTTTCACAGAGAAAGGGAACTATTTTACCCCACAAGAAAGAGCAAAAAACAGAAGAAAAAGGGAGGAGTCAGACTCATTAAGTTCTGCATCTCTACCAGACTGCCTGCCTAGAAGAATTTTTAGGGATGGATTTAGGGTTCCCAGAATAAGATTTGTAGTTCTATTTAATATATTTAATAAACATTTAATCTAGGGAACACCCAAGAGTAATTGTGAGAAGATTCCACAAGAGGTGTTACCATAATTAGCCAGTCCCTTCAGAAATTTATGCTCAGTTTCTAGCTTCTTTGCCTCTTAGATGCATCCCCCAACAAAACTGAGGATTTTTTTTTAAATTAATTCATCAACTTTCCTGCCCCAGATGGACTTTGTCCCCTAGGAGAACTCAGTTGAGCTGGTCATTGTCAAGATGGTGAAAGGTGGGGCTTTACTGGAAAATAGCATTATCGAGTACATATTCCACATACTGTGAGTTTACCTCAACATTTTGGGTTCCCAGGTAAAGGATGCATTTCTACCACGACTTGTGTGACCCGCTGAGACCTTTAGCACATTGTAGAAGTTAGTAGTTGCAAGGCAAACTGGTCGGCCTTTCACCTACCCATTTTAGACATAACTTATTGTTTATTGGCATTCATGTGACCATTCAGTGCCAGATTTGTTAGCACTCACGAAGTGTCTCATTCTCTTTAGAGCCAGAAAAAACAGACTCCGACAGTACTTTGACCAATCTGGGGGCAGACAGACATCATTACTGGCAAACTGAGGCTTATATAGGAAAAAATGGACTAATTAAGGGAGGTGGATGGAGACATGGGTGTGAGATCCTGGGATT